AAAAAAGTGTGTAAATTCTTTGTTTAGGGCCCCTAGTGGCTCAGCTATAAAATCTGAAGGCTTATAACGCTAAACACCGGGTTTCGATACTCGTGTTGGGCACAGCACAGATAGCCACTTATGTAGCTTTGAGCTTTACTACAAACAAACAAACCTTGTTTAGGTCTACCTTGTTGTAGACAATATATTACGATTAATTGATATAATATGATTTATTAAATATATTTATAAAGCACGTGATAATGTATAGTGCCTTTTTAAATATAATAGTAACTTTATCTTTCTAGCCGCCCAATGCAGCGTTACTCAACATACCATGTCGTTTTTCCTATATCTGCCTTCTAATCTAGCGTTTATCAACACACTGTGTATGTCTTTTTTTAATTGGTCAGCTAGTTTTTCTCGAGTGGAAAAACTTTCTGTCATCTATTGTAGCTGTTATAGGTTAAACAGATTTAGAATCAACAATCTTTGACGCAACACAGTTGGAATTTTCAAGATGAATGGCACGTGATGCATGTGGACGTGGGCTAAGTAGTCAGGTCAGAGTCCCCTAGGGTTCATGTACAGGCTTTCCTTAGTTTAATCTATTGACTAGCTAGAAGAAGGCCAACCAGCCAAAAACACTCGCCGCCGTGATAGTTTTGTCCGACTCTTGGAACCAAATAACGAGAGTTACTGTCACTTTTCTAACGCGCCCACAGTTCAAAGTTGGGTCATGTTCAATGGCATTACATCTCGAACCCTGGATCCTGTGATCCGCATTCTTATGCGCTAATCCACCCTCATTCAATTGATGCTATGTATGGATTTTTTGAAAAACAAAATGAGCATTTTTAAAGCCTAATCCAGTATCTTGTATTGTTATCTATGAAAGAAATTAAAAATTAAAAAAATAAAATTTCATTAAACTCAAAATTGTTAGTGAAAATACATACTTTATTTGAATAGTGTGACCAAAATTAGGATGTTACACAGACAGTTTCGTAGTTATAAAATATTAACAAACAAGCAATACGTTTAAGTGCTTGGAGGTGTATAATATAAATATAGCTGATAAGCACAAAGTGTATGATAATCAAAACCTACCGGTTTCGGTATTAGTAACAGACATTAACGCTATGCAAGATTGAAACTCTTTAAGTTGTCTCGTTCAAGGTTTCAAAATGACTCTCGACACACATATTTGGGCACCACTGGAACCCAGATTGATGATGTACCAACCACGTATGTGTGATGTATGAAAAGAAATAATCAAACAGTTTCAGTGGTTGTGATTGTAAAGGAAAACTAGATTATATGAAGTAGGAAAAAATTGCAATTTAATTCAATAATATTTATAATTTCAAAACAAAATTACGCGACTTTAAATTGAAAGAAATTACTCCTAGAAATATTGTAAACTTACAGCCTTTTTTTTTGTCGTGTATAAGGACAAAAAATCACACAAAATTATTTCTTTTCCAACGTATATATATATGTATATAATTTTTTTTTTGCACGCAAAGATACAACTAACTTAATTCCAAGGTTGTTCCTGGTCATTAGAGCCCATAACGCTTTACGAATCATTTGATATATAGGTTACGTTTTTCTACAGCATTAAAGAAACAGTATTTATAATCCGTACAATGTACCAAAATATTTCCAGGACTTTAAGCTCTAGGTGCATTATGAAAGTAGCAGTCAATACTTTAGCCTGGATAGTGGGAGGGTACTGCTAGCTAACTATCTGCCTTCCCTATCGCCACTAGTTCAAAATTAGGAGCAGCAGATAGCCTTAGTAGTTTTTCCATAAATATAACACAAATTTCAGCACCAAAATTCATATTTCTTGGATAAATGTTAACAGTCTTAAAAATTATATATTTTTTTATCAACAGAATTGTCAAGACGTTTTACTTTTTTATTCGTTTACTGAATAAATCATAGATGTTTTTGCACTTTAAAAGAAAAGAAAAATGATCAAATGTTGCAAAACCGTTCAGGCTGGTTTAACAAAATCAATATTATTGTATTGGAAAGAACTGATTTATAACTTACACGTTGTTTTCTCTTAGAGATTTGCTTAATTAAGAAATAAATACGTTTGAGTGGCTTAGAACCATGAACGTACTCGTTTGGTATTGAGTATTGATTTTATAAGAATGTTATTTATTAAAGCATCATCTTCCATTGCCCTTGCCTTTTAAAATAAATTCACATAAAATGCCACTACGGAAATTTTAAAACTATTAACTGTACGTCTGTTATGTTATTTGGTAGAGAATATTTATATTCCTTTACCCGTTATTCAAGTTTCACGTTTCAAATTAATAACCCAATCCAGATAATTCTAACCACCCTACTCCAAGATTCTTCATCTCCACGTGTCATATAACCATAATTCCACGAGCGGGGTGAAGACAAACAGATGTTCCTGACCGCCTCTGGTTATCTTTCAGGAGCCTGAATGATATTGTTACGTCTCCGTTTGTTAATTAACTTTCCGTAACTTCGTTCAGACGAAACTTTAGCGACACAAGTCCTTACTTAATAAAACTGGTTTATTCTTTCTGAATATAACTTTACGATACACTTGATTCCAACATTCGCGCTAAAACAAACACTATAACGAACTTCAACAATACTCTCTGACTGCAAATCAATTACTCACTACCTACACACATT